TTAAAGGCCTGAGCTAGGGCCATGCCCCCTATAGCCGTGTTTCTTATGTGCCTTTGGAGAGACTGGTCATCGTGTGAAATAAGGTTGAAGTTAATACACCCTCCCCCTTATCTGAAGACTCCGCAGTATTCTGAAGTTCCCTGTGAACGGATGCCTTCCTGAACGTAGGAAACAATAAGGTGTTGCTGCGCTACCCTGAACGTGTGTCTTTTCCAGAAAGGCTGGATGGGGAAGATTGGATATCTTGATAACTCCAACCTGTCCTTGTTGGGCCTGGAGTCCTACATGTAATAGAGGAGCAACTTATGATTTTGTTTTGTGAGAATGAAAGTGCTACTATAAGAGAAAAACCATCTCTGAATGAAGAGCTGAATTAGAAAAGACATTTTAAAACCCGTATTTCTTATAATGGTGGTCTACATTTTGTTACCAAGCATCTGCAGCTAGATACAAGCCCTTGTGACAACATGAGAGATTTCTCAAATGAGAGAAAAATGACACAGAGATATGTATTGGGAACAGTTCTTTGAAATGCAGAACTAAAGCAGAACAGCAGCAGATTCAGCAGTTCCCCCCTATATTTAAGTGGATGCCACTTGAAGGAGGGAACTGCTGAATCTGGTGTTGGTGAGGCGCGGCTGCTGTGTGCATCTCAGGGAGGGAAGTAATGACACCAGCACCCGTGGAAACCTTGCAGGTCTGCTGTACCTTCCACTCCATATGGACTCACCATCCTCAGTTTTGAAATACAGAAAGCTCTGAAAAAATGAACATTTGGAAATAAAGTTAGGGCTGGCCAAATAGCTCAGCAGATTAAAGCGCCTGCAAGTAGGCCCAGGGGCTGTGTTCGATTCCCCCCACCCCACAAGCCTGCTGTGCCAGCCCCGCCCCCAGGGCACACTGAGCAGGCAGTTGAGGCTGGGTGTAGTGGCACAGTGCCTGTAATCCCAGCCCTTGGGAGGCTGTAAACAGGCAGATCACTATGAGTCCAATCTAGTATTGAGACCCTGAACACCCTGTGGACCTTTCCCTAAAATACAGAAAAAAATAAAATAAAAAATAAACTTAAAAAAAAGAAAGAAAGTCATGTAAAGTCATTTTCAGCAAAACAAGATTGGAGTGGTGCAGGCAAATTGATGGTTGGGATCTGTTTTATGTAGCATGCTTTCTTCTGCAGGTACATAAAGATGCTGCTTGGGCATGTTACGTAACAGGTGGCATACGTAACAGTAGTTTTCTAAAATATGACCATTTCTAGATTCGAAGACACGTCTGGCGCAGGAGTTCCAGTAAAAGTTCCTCATAGAGGTTTATAAATCTTCAATAGATTATGCCAGTACTCCTCCTTGATTACTTAATAAATACAGACTGAGCATCACAAACCCAAAACTCAAAGCCAGAATGCTCCAAAAGTTGAAACCCTCAGAG